CAGCTTCTGGAGTCTCTGAGATTACAGGCATTGGCCACCATACCCTGCCTAAAATGTTTTCAAACATTAAATAGTCATGAGACATTCTGACTTCTCCAATAGCAACCTCTTTACTCTAACTTGTCTGTTTACAGAATTCCTGTGGTGGCAGCAGTATAATAAATGCCATTTATCTTTTAACCTTAAGGCACTTCTACACCTCCTCCCTATACAAACACACAAAACAAAACAACAAAACTCCAAATATGTCAATGTGGTAATAGTCTTTGCTGTTTGGGCAATTGTGTTGGTATACTTTTTTTCTATAATATCAAAATACATCTGGTATGGTTTGAATGTTCCCATCCAAACTTATGTTGAAATTTAAACCCCATGGTACAATATTATGAGAGTAGAAATTCCACCATTTTGGTACAGAGCTATAATCCCAGCAATTTAGAAGGCTGAGGCAGGTGGATCACAAGTTTGCGGCTAGCTTTAGTAACTTTGTGAGACTCTGCTCAAAAAAATTTAAATAAACAAATACTCAAATAGGGTCAGCAATGTAGCTCAGTGGTATAGCAGCCACAGGGTCAATCCTCAGCACCACCGCTTCCCCCACATACACAAAGGAACTACTTACTGCTTTATAAGACAAAGGAGAGAGAGAGACGTGAGCTAAGATGTTCTGTCTCACCATGAGTTTTGTGCCACCTTGGAATTTTGCTGGAGAGTTGCTACCAACAAAAAGGACCTCATCAAATGTGGCTACCAATGTTGAATTTCCCAGTTTTCAGAACCATAAGTCAAGTAAACCTTTATTTTTTTATTTTCATTTTTTTACAAATTAGTCTATAGTACTAATTTTTAGCAACAGAAAACAGACTCTAATAGATTATTTGCTTATTTTTAAGTTTTGGGTTTTGCTACACAAAGTCCCTAAATCAAAGTGATAAAACATTAATGTGGGTAATGATAATATTATGTAAAACAGCATCTGGGGGCTGGGACTATAGCTCTGTGGCAGCGTGTTTGCCTAGCATATGTGAAGCACTGGTTCGATCCTCAGCACCAAATAAAAAATAAATTAATAAACAAAGATATTGTGTGTCCCTCTACAACTAAAAAAATATATATTTTTTTAAAAAAACAGCATCTGAATTCTATAAGATAATAAACATGATCTTATTTAGAAAACATTCCTTTATTTATTTCTTTATTTTTTGGTATAGGGGATTGATCTCAGTCATAGAGTTAAAATCCTGGCTCTTTTTATTTTTTTATTTTGAAAAAGGGTTTAAGTTGCTGAAGCTGGCCTCAAACTTCAATCTTCTTGCCTCCAAAGTTACTGGGATTGCAGGCATATATCACCACATCCAGTTGGTTTTATTCTTTTTACACTCAAGAAAGTAGAAGCTACAGAATTTGCCTTGCAATTGCTAAGGAATAACCAGTTGATTCTTGCTGCCCTATCACCTCTTTTTGCAACCCACTCAAGACTTTTTCTTCTGCTTTCCAATTGCTCAAGGTTTTCCAGTTGCTATCACTAGTCTAATATTTTAAGATAGATGGAATTATTCAAGTTCCAAAATTAAAAATTAATATACCCATTTCTTGAATTTGGTTCATTACAGCTGGATATTAAAAAGAAAACAACTGAATTAGCTGTTAAAGTATGTTCCATTAAAGAGTGATCTATCAAGCAACATTCAGAAGTACTCACATTGTACATTATACTCTTTAAAGGTAGCATGAATTCCCCAGAATTTCAGATTGATGAAATATTTCAGAGGAAATTTTGAGTAGGTGATTTCCAGGCTCTCTACATGATTCTGGAAATTGTGCCATCCTAAGCTGGAATTTAGGATTCTTTTTCTAAACATTTACTTGACCATTTTCTTGGGATGGGGGGGGGGCAGTGGTAGTGGTGCTGGGGATCCAACCCAAGGCCTTGCACACGTTAAGCAAGTGCTCTACCACTGAGCCTCACCCCTAGCTCTGATTTCTTAAATTCTCTTAAATATAAGGGTTTTTTTTTTTGGGGGGGGGGAAGTGAAATGGGCATTCTCCATCTTTCTTTTTTTTTTTTTTTCGCTTTTTCTTTTTTGGTACCAGGGATGCTTAACTACTGAGCCACATCCCCAGCCTGTATATCCTATTTTGAGACAGGGTCTCGCTAAGTTACCTACAGCCTCGCAAAGTTGCTGAGGTTGGTTATGAACTTGCAATCCTGCTGCCTCCCAGCGGTCTTTCTCCATCTTTGATAAAAATTTCAACATGTAGTTTGAGGACTGCTTGCATCAGACTCATCTGGAGAGATGTCCAGCTCCACCTCTGACTTATTACAAAAGAATTTCCAGGGCTGGAGTTGTGGCTCAGAGGTAGAGCGCTTGCCTCACCACTGGGTTTGATTCTCAGCACCACATAAAATAAAATAAAGACATTATATTCGCCTATAACTAAAAAAAAAAAAAAAAAAAAAAAAAAATTTAAAAAAAAGAATTTCCAGCAGAGCTCAGGGAATCTGTCTTTTAACATTTCCCTGCAACCTCCACCATGCCCAGATGATTTCTATATGTGCCTAAGATTAGAGGATCTAGGGGATAATTTTGAAAAGTAAACCATCACTGTCATTTGGGTTGTTGGATTCTTTTCTATTATAGATCATAGACAAGAACTTCAAGAAATATCAAGTAAAAATCTAGTTCTAAGAAGACCAAATAAATTTTAGGAGACTAATAATTAACAAATCTATTTATAAGATTGAATATTCTTTTGTTGTAAATTACATGTGTGCACTGTCTCAATGAATTATATGTGTGAAACATCTCAAAGAATTCTTTGGTGGATGTTGTTTAATCCTGACTTGCCATCCATAAAATTAACCAGCTGCCCAAAGTTTTTACTATGCTACCCACACACCAGTCTCCAGTTACCCCTGAGGCATTCTCTAAACAAGCCTCATTTCCTATATAAAAGGAAATGGGCTTAAAATGAACTGAGTTTGGTCAACTGTACAAAACTTAGGCTGATTAAACTGAAACAGGTTATCAAAGGAGACTGCAAATTCTACAGCTTTAAAGATGCTTTAAAATAGGAAATACAATTTTATTTTTGGATAAGCATGGTATACAGTGGTATAAAGCTAAAGGATTCAAATAGAAGAAGCTTCTTTCTAGGTTTATAATTTTTAAAAATAACTTTATTTATTTTACGTGGTGCTGAGAATCAAACTCAGTGCCGTGCATGTGCTAAACAAGCGCTCTACTACTGAGCCACAATCCCAGTCCTTATATTTATAATTTGACTAAACCAGCTCTCTACCTAATTGAAAGTTAACCTGTTCTTGTTTGTTTTTTAACAAGCTGACCCTGTCAAGAATTCCATGCCCTTCTCTGATAACATAATAGCCTCTTAAGAATACTTTATAGAAACATTGTTTAAATGCCCATAACATACAATGATGGAAACTATTTAATTTGATCACACCACATAATTACTCTTCTTTCATATAAAGTTTTATATATAAAATTACCACTGACCCACAACCCCAGTCCTTATACTTTGTTTTTTAATTGCCTCTTACTCCTGATTATTATCAGATGTCACCACCCTTCTTAAAATCTAAATCACAGTTCAACCAAAGTCACTCACCTTGCAGGTCTTCCTTCTTTGGAGTCAGGGTGCATGGCGCTTTTGTTGGCAGAACAGAAAAGAAATACCAAGAATTAAAAATCCATAACACAACTGGGAGCCCTTAACCTAATTTAAGAATTGACTTGAAATCACCTTTATCAAAAACTAAAGATATCTTCAAAAGAATGACTAGTTGGTAAAAGATCTAAGGGAAGAGTTCTCATTGAAAGACATAACACTAAAGATAATTTGTGAAACTGTAATAAAAATTTACCGGATAAAATTTTAAAACATAATTATGTTTTCTTTCAAGCCATCATGGAAAAATCTTTTAGTTTAAAATATGTAATTCCATATTTGGATTTGAGCCACAGTTTCTGGATTTGTTCTAATATATCTGTAGAACCAGTGATCTTCACTTACCATCTTATACTTTCTGAATGAAAATCGAATAGATTGGTGGTTTTAATGGCTAGATTTTTGGTAAACTCGTTATTTTGACATTTTCTCTCTCTGCTGACGAAAGCTTCTTACAATTCGATAGAGAAATAAATGAGGCAATATAAGTTTGGAGAAGATGGACCAAGAAAGAGGAGGAAAGCCAGCGTTCTACCTACCCCTCAGCTGGTTAAATCTTCATTTTATTTAGGCTTCACTTGACTGTAAAATTAGAGACTGAAGAAGCTGTTTAAAACCTCTTCCAAAAGTTTTGAACAGAAACGCTAGTCAGTTGCCAACACAGTTAACCAAGTGTATCCTGATTTTTAAAAAGATGTTTTCCTTTGTGATGTAAAAAAATATGGAAGTCGGAATTTCAATGGGTCAGGCTTCTAGGCCTCTAGGAACTCAAGAACTGACAACAAAGTCACGTGTTTTAAACAGGGTATACAGATATCCAAGTGTCCAGGAAAATAATTTTGAGCTTACTGCCGACAAATTTACCAGAAAGCCCTGTGAATGACACAACTTCAGATTTCACGGACATCTTGGGGCTGGGCCTGGAAGGTTATAATTTGATGAAACTTAGGCGCCAGCAGTGGGTTTTTTTTTCCAAGGTTCCTTACGAAATAAGATGCAGAAGAAACACTGTCTCAAATTTCCCAAAGCCGTCCTCACAGGAGACTGGTTACCCGCGGTGGGAAGTGGTGTGGAGACGTTCCCCTACCATTTTTATCTACGTAACGCCGCCTCCAATCCCTGGCTGACAGCGCTGCCTCTGCCGCCAGCTATAGCTGAAGCGCCCCGCGCCGCGAAGGAATCTTTCAGCCAGCCCCGCAGTGCTGACGGGCATCGTCACGAGCCAATGGGCGCCCTGGAAGGCGGGACAGGGAGGCCGAGGGGCGGGATTTCCCGCGCGGCCCCTGGGCGCCGGGCTGGAGCTACACGGGCGGTGTCAGCGGCTGCGCCTAGAATAGGGCGGGCAGGCGCGCTAATCTGTGGGCGGCCGCCGCGTCTTCTGCCGCCGCCCTCCCTTCGCCACCATGCCGGGGATCGACAAGCTGCCCATCGAGGAGACGTTGGAGGATAGCCCGCAGGTGAGGCGCGGGCGACGGCCCCGGGCGATGTGGGAAAGCCGGGCGGGCCACCGCAGGCCTGGCGCTGCCGCCTCAAGTGCCCGCCCCGGCCCAGGTGGGCGCCGCCGCCGCCCAGGTGTACCCCCCCTCCCCGCCCGGCCGCGGAGGCCTTGTGCGCAGCCTGAGGCCCGCATAGGCCCGTGTGGCTGGGCCGAGGGCCCCGGGTGGAGATCGAGCCGCCGCCTCTCGTGGGGCTGGCGGTCACGTACGCGCCCAGTCTCCTGTTTATTTGACGGAAGATGCTGTTTTTACCGCGATGGTGTGAGGTGATAAATCCCCAATCTGGAGAAAATGCAAAGAAGGGGAGAATCCCGGTAGTCTTGTTAATGGATTTTGGAGGCTCGGTATGCTGGGGAAGGAAATGGCTAGTTTTTCTTCTGGAGGTGTGAGAGGCTGTGTGTGGAGAGCCATCGCGAAGCCAGTTATGGGTGCTCAAGCCTGCTTGCGAACTCCCCGCCTAGTGTGCGGGTGTAGCGGCGGTAACTGGCCGCTGTCACTGAGCTATGCACAGCTTGTGATGGACGGCGCCTTCCAGGACTGCTGCGCCGCTTGCTGCGGACTTGGCCCTGATAAACTCATCAAAATAAAAGCCTTGTGTTCTGTGTTTTGTACTTTGGGGATGATGCTCTAGTGATTGCTTAAGCTTAATATGATTTTGGAAAATGTAATATTTTATATATATAAACACACTCAACAATAAAATCGTCTATATTAAAAATGGTGTTGGAAGCAGTTCTAAGTTGCATGGAGAAACTTCACCGCATGCCTGGCATTTTTACACAATAAGATTTGAGAGGGTGTTGCTGTTCACTTAGAATGAAAAAATTCTGAAATACTGACTTAGAAATAAGATAACACATATGTCTTGTACTTTCAGTTTGCTGTGCCTGCCCTCCCCCCAAGAAAAAGAAACGAAAAGGAGGAAAGGGCTATGGATTTTGTGTCAGTGTCAATTGCCAAGTTGAAATTGGACTCTGATTGTAGAATTGATTTGTTCTTTTTCTTTCTGAAAGTTATCTTCACAGGTCAGTTTATTGCTGGTAATGTACTCCTATCAGCCTATAATGACAAAGAGAAACCCACATTTTGCTTTATCTTGACTGCCAGTGTAGCCTTTTTTTTTGGCGGGGGGCGGGGCGGGGGGAGCGGGGATACCCGGGATTGAACTCTGAGCCACATCCCCAGCCCTATTTTGTATTTTACTTAGAGACAGGGTTTCACTGCCTCTCTTTTGCTGAGGCTATCTTTGAACTCATGACTCTCCTGTCTCAGTCTCAGAGCTGCTGGGATTATAGGCCTAGGCCACTATGCCTGCCTCTGATCAAATTTTTCTTAATTAGTTCCTCAGTATAAAGTTATAAGCTATATTTGTTTCAGATAATTTGCAACAATTTTGTGGGTTGCATGGGTCAGGTGCTCTTTGTCATTTTACTTTTTATTATATAAGACTCAACAAGTTGCCTTTCTTCCTTTACCTGGCCTATATGATTTTTTACAGCCCTTAAAGTCTATAAACAGCTTAGTATGGTTTGCACAGTGCCCTAGCCATGACTAGAGGCAAAGATAATTTTCAACTTTTCACACAATTAGTTTACAATTTGAGAATTAGTTTGTTTTTTTATAAGCATGCTTCATGTTAGTATCAGTTTTATATTGAATTTTAATGAAATAGTCATGTTGATATTCAGTTTCTAGAGGTAATAAATTTGAACAAGGTAATATTTATTTGGGAAAATTACTTGGGAAGCTGGGATTTAGGAAAGTAAGACACTGGGGGTAATTTGTTTTGTTTTTAGTACTGGGGTTTTAACTCATGCCCTACCACTGAGCTATATCCAAACCCTTTTTATTTTTGAGACAGGGTCTCACTGAATTGCCCAGGCTGACCTCAAACTTGCAGTCCTCCTGCCTTAGACTCCTGAATTGCTGGGATTATAGGTTTGTGCCACTGAGCCTAATTCTTTGGGAGAACATTAAGGCAGGATGGATAGCCTTGGATCTGCAACTGAGGAGATGGAGATTGTAGCCTTCACTGCCACTTAGTACCTTCCACTTTAAAGGCAAATTGCTCATTTTTTTCCCAAATTTATTGTACATAATAGTTTTATCCTGTTTTTAAAAATATAGCTTACATGTCTTCATTTTTTCTTTTTTTTTTAATTTTTTATTGTGGGTTGTTAAAAACATTACAAATTTCTTGACATATCATATTCCACACTTTGATTCAAGTGGGTTATGAACTCCCACCTTCACCCCATACCCAGATTGCAGAATCACATCAGTTACACATCCATTGATTTACAAATTGCCATACTAGTGTCTGTTGTGCTCCGCTGCCTTTCCCGTCCTCCACCCTCCCCCCTCCCCACCTCTCCCCTCCCCTCCCCTCCTCTCTCTCTACCTCCTCCACTGTATAACCCTGAGGGTCTCCTTCCATTACCATGCAATTTCCCTTCTCTCTCCCTTTCCCTCCCACCTCTCATCCATGTTAAATGTTAATCTTCTTCTCCTGCTCTTCGTCCCTACTCTGTTCTTAGTTACTCTCCTTATATCAAAGAGGACATTTGGCATTTGTTTTTTAGGGATTGGCTAGCTTCACTTAGCATAATCTGCTCTAATGCCATCCATTTCCCTGTAAATTCTATGATTTTGTCATTTTTTAATGCAGAGTAATACTCCATTGTGTATAAATGCCACATTTTTTTTATCCATTCGTCTATTGAAGGGCATCTAGGTTGGTTCCACAGTCTTGCTATTGTGAACTGTGCTGCTATGAACATCGATGTAGCAGTGTCCCTGTAGCATGCCCTTTTTAGGTCTTTAGGGAATAGACCAAGAAGGGGAGTAGCTGGGTCAAATGGTGGCTCCATTCCCAACTTTCCAAGAAATCTCCATACTGCTTTCCAAATTGGCTGCACCGATCTGCAGTCCCACCAGCAATGTACAAGTGTACCCTTTTCCCCACATCCTCGCCAGCACTTGTTGTTGTTTGACTTCTTAATGGCTGCCAATCTTACTGGAGTGAGATGGTATCTTAGGGTGGTTTTGATTTGCATTTCTCTGACAGCTAGAGATGTTGAGCATTTTTTCATGTACTTGTTGATTGACTGTATGTCCTCCTCTGAGAAGTGTCTGTTCAGGTCCTTGGCCCATTTGTTGATTGGGTTGTTTGTTCTCTTATTGTCTAATTTTTTGAGTTCTTTGTATACTCTGGATATTAGGGCTCTATCTGAAGTGTGAGGAGTAAAGATTTGTTCCCAGGGTGTAGGCTCCCTATTTACCTCTCTTATTGTTTCTTTTGCTGAGAAAAAACTTTTTAGTTTGATTAAGTCCCATTTGTTGATTCTAGTTATTAACTTTTGTGCTATGGGTGTCCTATTGAGGAATTTGGAGCCCAACCCCACCGACTGTAGATCGTAGCCAACTTTTTCTTCTATCAGACGGCGCGTCTCTGATTTGATATCAAGCTCCTTGATCCATTTTGAATTCACTTTTGTGCATGGCGAGAGAAAGGGATTCAGTTTCATTTTGTTGCATATGGATTTCCAGTTTTCCCAGCACCATTTGTTGAAGATGCTATCCTTCCTCCATTGCATGTTTTTAGCCCCTTTATCAAATATAAGAAAGTTGTAGTTTTGTGGATTGGTTTCTGTGTCCTCTATTCTGTACCATTGGTCCACCCGTCTGTTTTGGTACCAGTACCATGTTGTTTTTGTTACTATTGCTCTGTAGTATAGTTTGAAGTCTGGTATCGCTATACCGCCTGATTCACACTTCCTGCTTAGCATTGTTTTTGCTATTCTGGGTCTTTTATTTTTCCATATGAATTTCATGATTGCTTTCTCTATTTCTACAAGAAATGCCTTTGGGATTTTGATTGGCATTGCATTAAACCTATAGAGAACTTTTGGTAATATCGCCATTTTGATGATGTTAGTTCTGCCTATCCATGAACAGGGTATATTTTTCCATCTTCTAAGATCTTCTTCTATTTCTCTCTTTAGGGTTCTGTAGTTTTCATTGTATAAGTCTTTCACCTCTTTTGTTAGGTTGATTCCTAAGTATTTTATTTTTTTTGAAGATATTGTGAATGGAGTGGTTGTCCTCATTTCCATTTCAGAGGATTTGTCGCTGATATACAGGAATGCCTTTGATTTATGCGTGTTGATTTTATATCCTGCCACTTTGCTGAATTCATTTATTAGCTCTAATAGTTTCTTTGTAGAGCCTTTTGGGTCTGCTAGGTATAGAATCATATCATCTGCAAATAGTGATAATTTAAGTTCTTCTTTTCCTATTTTTATGCCTTTAATTTCTTTCGTCTGTCTAATTGCTCTGGCCAATGTTTCGAGAACTATGTTGAACAGAAGTGGAGAGAGAGGGCATCCCTGTCTTGTTCCAGATTTTAGAGGGAATGCCTTCAGTTTTTCTCCATTCAGAATGATGCTAGCCTGAGGCTTAGCATAGATTGCTTTTACAATATTGAGGTATGTTCCTGTTATCCCTAGGTTTTCTAGAGTTTTGAACATAAAGGGATGCTGTACTTTGTCGAATGCTTTTTCCGCATCTATCGAGATGATCATATGGTTCTTATTTTTAAGTCTATTGATGTGGTGAATAACATTTATTGATTTCCGTATATTGAACCAGCCTTGCATCCCAGGGATGAATCCTACTTGATCATGGTGCACAATTTTTTTGATATGTTTTTGTATCCGATTCGCCAGAATTTTATTGAGGATTTTTGCATCTAGGTTCATTAGAGATATTGGTCTGTAGTTTTCTTTCTTTGAAGTGTCTTTGTCTGGTTTAGGTATCAGGGTGATGTTGGCCTCATAGAATGAATTTGGAAGTTCTCCCTCCTTTTCTATTTCCTGAAGTAGCTTGAAAAGTATTGGTATTAGTTCTTCTTTAAAGGTTTTGTAAAATTCTGCTGTATACCCATCCGGACCTGGGCTTTT